GATGCATTTAATATACTTTCTATACTACATCTATATTTGAAATTTTACAAAAAACTATACACAAAGCTTAAAATAAAATTTTTTAAAGAGAGATCAGCCTACTATATATAACACGAAAACATCGAAATTGTTTCAACAATATATCCTAATCTTTAGTTGAATTCGTATCATCTAAAGCAAATATCTAAATAGCCGTAAAAAAGAAAATATTGTTTAAATATTTATTGCGCTTCGGGTCATGATTGTTATTTTGACACATTGCATTACAGTCATGTACAAAATATATTTTTCGAACTCCATTCACGACTGTCAAAGGAAAAATTTTACGACGTGAAGTATCTTGACGAAGAACGAATAGCAGGCAATTTACTTTCGTGTGTTCCCTTGATGTATCTTTGAACCAGTCAACATAAATAAATGGGTAATAATTACCATCATTGCTCTTGTGCTTAAAAATGGCTTTAATCATCACGTAACCTTTATCATAGTCATTCGCTTGAATTGCCACTACATTATTCGTACATAAATGGCAATTAATTTCGATGTAATCTTTTTTTTACAAATAAGATGCACTTCCATAAAATTTATAAGATTGGTTAATCAACGATATAGTGTGCCCGAAACTTTGATAAGCAATAGCCAAGTCAGAACGAAATATAGCTGTATCGGTTTTAATCGGCTGTTTATAGGAAACTATTGGCTTTCTTAGCCTTATATTTTGAATATGGGTGGATTGGGAACATACTATTAAGATATGTATTAATAATATACAATATAAACGTTAACAATGTATATGATAATAATAAAATAATATATAACAATAAATAGTATTACTATTTGATCCATCATAATCCTCATCTAGCAAATCTTCTGTAATAAACCAATTTTTAAATAAACTCTTAGAATCTTGAAATATGTTAACAAAATCGATACTAGCTCGTGGATATCGTGAGTCAAATCCACCATCTGCTAAGTGCCGAATAGATTGGAGAGTCATGTAACGTTTCAATAAATCAAATTCTACATTCTTGCGATTGATGTGTAGAACCATATTTTTAAAGATGCGATGGACTATTTCCTTAGTTCCAACTCCGGTATTTGTAAGCGTTCCGAAAGTTCTTGCATGTCGAGGTAAATGGTAGCAGGTATGAAGGCTAGGAAGACCCACGAAATCTGAAAATAACTATGTTCAAGATAACTCAACAAGTTTAAAGTATTAATACATTTATTCGCCATGTTCTTGAGATACTTTTAATATTCGGACATTCGTATAATATGTTGCCAATCACCAAAATAATCTAATTTTTTTATAAAAAAACAAATTGACCGATTGAATAATGTGTTAAAAAAAAATGCAAAAAAAAGAAACACTTACATTGACTCACTTTTTTGAGATATTAATAATGATTGAAGACACCAGGAAACCAATCTCAATATGCTAATATTTAAATAACATATACCCAATATTATATGTTTTCTAAAAAAGGAGATCGTTTAAAACCAGTATCGGTACATATTTCAGGTTGATACGTACGTACGTAAATTAAAATTCATGTAATAAATATAAAATATATACCGATAAGCTTTAGACGATCTCCAAAAGAGGAAAATAAACTTTGAATATCTGCAGGATATGCATGGCGATGAATATGGTAAATGTTATAATAAACTTACCGTAATTAAGATCTGTCGCTCTTCTTCGAAATTCTTCTCAAGATCTTTATAGTCACTGTTTGATAAAGGAAACTTAAATGCTAATCGATTGCATTTTGCCACAATCGACCAGCATCTAATGATTTCATTAGCAACTTGATTTCGCTGCAAACCTGCACATTCTTGTAATTTCATAAGTTCTATTGGCTTAAAGCAGTTTGTAGTCAAGGACCTGTTTAATATAAATGACATTATCATCCCCAGTCGTAAACAGTCCGACATCATAAAGCTTTCAATATGGCTTATGGGGTTTGGAAGTTTCGACCACTGGTGAGGATATTCAAATAATCTCCAAACCTTAAGAAATCTTTGTTCTCTATCTAATGATAATGTTGCAATAGTTAATTTAAGAAGTTTTAATGTTTTATCAGCTGCTATATGATAGATGTCTTGCGGCGACTGGAGATGCCATTTACGTTGAAGTTTGTCAAGTATCGGAAAAGAATTTCATAATCCATATTCTCTGGCAACATTTTTTTGTTGTGTGATTGTTGGTGCTGAAAAAACATCATCAAATTGGGTATTTGTAATATGGTGATAATGAGAAATATTGGCAATATCTAAGTTCTCATCTGTTGCATTTTCTCTTGTAACTAAACATGTTCTACACCTTCTTGTTGCACCATGCCATTTTACCTTTACTAGATCATTGCCTTGTGGCAAGTCTGCTATAGTGCATCCAAGACTAGCAATCATCCAATAATCACTTCTCTAAATATTTATTAGAACACCTTGTTCTAGTTGTTTCATTTCTAAAATAAATGGATGAATGAAATCTTCAAAGTTTCTACTAAAAGGGACAAATCCCAAGACAAAATGGTTACGTAGGTGCTTCCTAATATCGAATGGCATGTTTCCTAGTTGTATATAGACGCCGCCTAACGAATGATAGATATTTCAATAGGTACCAAAGTCATCGTAATAAATATCGATAAATAATTTTAAAACCTGAAGATTGTTATACTGTGATGGTGGTGCAATTAACGTGGAGTATTCACATGGATGCATATAATCTAGATTTATACTTCGTACTTTCTAATGCCTTTTGCTTTTGTATAAGATTTTCTTAATATAAAGACCGACGACAACACTTGAGTCGCGAATGATTGAAATATTAATCTTTTTAATGATTTTATTCGTTCTAACAATAATATTTTCCTCTTCCAAATGCTGATCTATTAACCACAATTGTGAATCTTTTGTAGTAAACCGAGCTATACTGTAAAAGTTGGTTGGTAATTCACTATACACATAAATTCGTTATATTTTTATCTGAAGCTCATTATTACTAGAAATTATAGAACGTATTCGCCCGAATCTTCGTTCATTGTCTTCGTTATATATGACAAATTCGCCCGGATAGTAATGTTCTGTCACAATAGTTAAGATCCATATTACAAAAATAGATATAAATTATTTATGGAGAAAACAACAAAAATTAAATAATTGGGCAATGTGAAGGGGCTTTTGGATATGAAAAAAAATAATTATAAAATCAAATTAATATCTTGATTAATAATTATTTTGTCTTGACCGAATAACGGAGATTCCGCCCAAAGATCACTATGCCAGAATTCTTTTTTTTCATAGACTTCGACTCCTGGCCCAAAATATAATGTATTATACAGCAATAGGTTATTCAAGATATTCCAAATAATATCGAAAATAGAAAGGTAGTAACAAGGCTTTATTTGTTTGGATGTTGAAGAAGTTTTTTTTTGGTTGATATTAATTGAACGTATTCTTATTGGCATTAACGGTAATCGATTTCTCCATTGGCAAAGTCTTCTGATATTTTTTACGACGTCATCTGCTTTAAAAGCAAGATTTTGTAATATGTCTACCAGGTCATTATACGCGCTTGTCGCTATTAATATAGATTATTACTATGTTTCAAAATTTATATGCATCTAATATACTGACATCAAATAAAACTGATATACTTACAAATGTTATGCTTTTGTGTCTAGCAAAACAGTAATGCAGAGGTCAGATTTTTAAAGTAAGTTACATTTTCGCTTGTATTCAACATTTGGTCTATATTTATCAGTGCGTCAACTATTTGATCGTCTATAATGTTGCTGATATCGCTATTAGCATCACTGTCATCCTCATCTATTATTGAGCCTTCTTCAATATCTTCTGTTTCGTCCTGCGATTCCGTCTCATTGTGCACTTCCGCTTCATCCAGCATTTCTATTTCGTTTTCTGATTCAATTTCATCTTGCGAATCCATTTTGGCTTGCAATTCAATTTCATCTTGTGACTCAATTTCGGTTTGCGACTCAATTTCGGCTGGTGACTCGACTTGCGACTCGATTTCATCTTGTAATTCCATCTCATCTTCCTTCTTGTAACTTGCATTTGATTCTAGAAGAATATTAAAATAAGTATGAAGTAGGTGCAACTTAAAATTTCGTAATACTGGCAAATTTATATATTTACTAGAAATAATCTTCTTTTACCTAGTTTAGATAACCCGAATCAATTAAATTTTGAAAGGATATTACAATTTGAAAAATTTGTATTTTGGCGCATAGAAAATGACATAATCAATGGAGCACCCGATGAAGCACGACGACTTTTACGCATTCTTTAAAAAATATAATACAAGAAAAATATGACTATATTGCGAAATTAAAATCAGTTTGCACGAAAAGTCAAAAAGGTTGTGTTTGATCAGATGAGAATGAGCTTTTATATTTTTTCCTATCTCTAACTCTACTGAGTCTAATTCTATAGACTATCCCTTAAACTGTTTTGCAAGAAAATTTGCCTGCAAATTTCATGATTGATCTGTGATTAAGCTACAAAAATATGTTGAAATGTAGTCTATATCGTAGTATATTTGAAGTTAAATCGAGGATTTAAGGGATAACCTCTAATGACATTATACTCATACATATAACAAAAATGACATAATTAATTTATACAAGGGTTTTTGCATAATGTAATTTCTATATTTATACAAATGCATTAATTATATAGTTTACAAGAAACCAACTCTTAAATTTATTTAAGAATTTAAGAATATTTTAAATTAAAAGGTAAACATAATACTTAAAGAAATTAATATATAAGTTTGTACCTGTTTCGCTGTGGATTCGTTAAGACAAATATAGTAATTTAGCTATGCGCCGTTTATTTGTCTTCATGAAATTATAAATGCAAAAACTTCTCTTAAATACTAAACATATTTTCTTTTTTTAAATGTTAAGGTGAAATGGCAAGAACAAAAAGACTAATAGCCGAAGAAAATAATGAGATCGAAGAAACAAACCAAACCAAAAGGGTTCAAAGTAAGTGTTAATTGATATAAAACTTATTTTAAAATTATATACTGATTTATTTTTAAAAAAACACTATCTAACTAGGAGGGCGTGGAAGAGGAAGTCATAAAAGAGGGAGTCATGGAAGAGGGAATCGTGGAAGAGGGAGTAGTGGAAGGGGGATCGTGATAGAGGAAGCCGTGGAAGAAAGAAAAGTTGTGGGAACGAACAACAAGTTAGAGACCAGGAAATGACTACCGAACCTTTTACGCCAAATACTGAACTCCGTGTTAGAGATCGAGAAATGACTACCGAACCTTCTATGCCAAATGCTGAACTCAATGACTCTGATTCAAATTATGCAAATGAAATTGAATCAGATGCCGGTAAAGAAAAGTCTTTTGACAAAGGTTTTTATCAAACTTAACATTATGAAGACTTAATTATTCAACTACAATATATAGTATCAAAAACTGCAATCTATTCGGGTCATAAATTAACAGAATCGAAAGGCAAAGGTTATTAAATGATTTTTGTTTCACTAAATACGCTCTTTGTATTTTGAAAGTTACAGCATTATAACTTTAAAAATACTATTACTAAATTTACTTTTAATCATAATTTTTTCAGTTGTCAAGAAAAATTTGCGACTCCAGTAACGTCATTTTATGAAGGTTTGACCGATTTTGAGATCCCGACACCGACACATCGACCATGGAATCACCCGGTAAAGGTAGCCATCAATTGCAAAGTAAAGTAACGGTTTCAGATTTGCTTCAAATGTCTGATAGTGATATTAGTGACGATGGCGTTAGTATGTTTTTTGTCTTTAAATTTGTTTTATAATACTTATTTTGTTCTAATATATTTAATTATAAAATCAATTAGAGTATTATCAAAGAGATAATGAAAAACGAACAAAGGCTACGAAACGACAAAGAAATGATGACAATGAAAATGATAAGATTGTTGAGTCATCTAAAAAAAGAAATGGTAAAATGAGACTTATTGTATAATTTTGTAAGTTAAGACTTAATTGTATAATTTTGAACATTCATTTATTTTTACAAAAATTAGGAAATCCTGAAGCTCTAAAAGACATGACAAACAACTTCGAAGTTTGTTAGTGGCTAGTTCTAGAAAGGCCGGATATATTAACAACGGCGATTCAAATGCGCAATGCCATGCAAACTTCTTTAGACTTATCCACCGCTGCGGTCCTACAGACTGAATTAATGGTAGCATCAAAAAATATTGCTAACAAAGTTCGTTTTCTTAAAATATCTTATCTGCATAGTTTTATTTATGCAATTCAAAGATTAAATTTTATAACATTTATATATAGGGGCTTGCATGGCTTTGGCATAAAAAAATAAAATGTCTTTTCCTTAGATGCAGAAACCCACTAGCTGGAGCTATTGAAAACCTGATTACAAAAATATTTAACTACGAACTCTATAGTAATGAGGCCGTGGAAATTATTTGTTATTCGAAGCGAGTGTTAACAGACTTTCGCAGTAAATTAAATAAAGGAATAGCCTCATTAGTAAATGAATTTAAAGATCGATGATCGAGAGAACAACAAATATCAACATTGTCAAGATCTGATATTAACGAATTTATAACTCAAGACACTGCCAAATTTGTACTAAAAAGATATTTGAACAGCACTAATTTAGATAAGCTCAAGAGGTATAGCACAATGAACCAGCTTGTTAAATTAATCAAAGAAGCATTTAAAATATTTTTCAATGGTTACAATACGAAAGCTGTTAAGAAACTCGATTATCTTATAATAGGCTGCAGAATTCCAAGTAGATCCGGTAAAAACATAGTGTCAAGGCTTTCTTTAACAAATAGCGATAATAATAATAATTATACCAATATCTAGAAGAATCTGCATCTTTTCGCATAATGCTTCAGCATTTACATTTTTATTCTGGATAAAATATTAATTATCACTAGAACTTGTTATATAGCTACGATAAATTATTTGTATTGCAAATTTATTTGTAATAGACACTTTATTTAATCATAGCTTAGGTTGTAAAGCGGACATTAACGAAAAAAAATTACAGGCAATTTAATTATATGTGTAAATTATAAAATCTAAATTCTTGCTGATTAAAATGTGCATTTTATAATATTGAATATATCAGATATTATATCGCATTCTAGCCAAGCTACTATTCTATTTTATGAGGTAAATAATTTAGTTGATTTTATATTCATACTGATTATCTTTTCTTACCAATATTTATATTTAAAACATTGCATTTACCGTTACGATTTACTAATCTGCCGAATATTGTATGAGTGACAAACCCAAAAAGGATGCTACATTGGGGATGTATGTCAACTATGTAAATCAAAACTTTATGTGGTCATTTGGATTATTAAATTTTTTTTTGATCAAAATTATTAATCGATGACGCACTTTTTTTAGATGCGTAGGTTGCAATTTCTATTTTAGCAGAATGTTTCAACACCAAATAACTCTCTCAATCCGTTAACAAAGTTATAGAATCATTTTTCATATTATATATAGAAAACGAAATTTTTTTCTAAATTTACTTTACCTTTATTTATTGTTTGAATAATCTGGATAAAACTTAAACTGCTGGTAAAATTTTTTTTTAATTAAATATAAATTTTGGCTCTGTAACCCTTATTGTAGGGATCTTTAATCGATCCATTCAAAATTTAGATTTCTAATTATTAGTTATAAAGGCCCTGAATCTAATTAAGTGTCGTTATAATTATTGCATCAAAAAAAATTAGGGATTTACAAATCGTACAAATGTCGATCTCAATTAAAAGATGCCCAAATCTACTTCATTATACTGTAATTAACCAACAGCAACTCGAAGGTCTTTTTTAACAAATTAACCTAAAAACACATCCCAATATGTCAATATCAACAAAGCAATCTAAGGTTCATTTATCTTCAAGCAAAATCTTAAAGACAATTATTCGAATGAATTAAATGAAATAAGGGCGAAACGAAATATTAATACGAAAATGCCGCTTCAAGAAATACAATTACAATTCGAACCTGACATTTCTTTGAATATTTTTAATAAACTATTAATGTAATTGCTTTAATTAATGTATTATATTCATAACAAAAAACAATATTTGCTAAATTAAAATAAAGATCTACATTGATATTACATGAAAAAATTATTAATAAAATTTTTATGATACCATATATAGTTTTGAATTACTTAGTTGATATACATCCCCAATATACAAGCAATTTCTACTATAGTTAATCTTTGTGGAGAACATTTATCACTATATGCTTAGGCAGTTTGAATCAATCGTTTGAGTAAAATTTTATATTTTTTAATTGAGTTTTTTTATTTAGGCAGAAATTTTAGCACATATATGACTAGTGTATAGATAATTAATTATAAACCTTAAAATGTTAAATCGAGTTGAAAGACTTGAAGATCATTCGCAACAAGTATTCTGAAGATCGTTTGCAACAAGTATTATATTTGTTTATTCGAATTCACAATTCTTAAATATGTGCCAAGCTTTGTAACGAAGACCAATTCTTTAAAGTTCGTTTATGTAAGATTTAGCACATGTATTAAGGATAGGCATTAGCGAAGCATGAAAAACTTTTTGTTAATGTGCTAATGTGGTTTTTTAGATGGAATTTCAAGAAATAGGCGATTTTTTGACAAAACGAACATTTTTTGAACTTTTTTTTTACCATTTTATGTTTAACTTATGTTGAAATCTAACTCAGTTCAGGAAATCAAACAAAGCTAGCATATATTTAAGAAATGCTTCTCTAAATTAACTGTGTGCATGCTTATGTAATATATGTACAGTATATGAGTGCTGCCAAGGGAAAACCTGACTTCAGATTTTCAATTATATTTTGTGTACAGTTAGCTATTTATGAAAATCTATCATTATGATAGATTTTCTATAGCACAGCTAACTGTACACAAAATATAATTGAAAATCTGAAGTCAGGTTTTCTATTGGCAGCACTTATATACTGTATATAAGGCCTATAGTTTTTTTTTTTTTTTTGAATATTAATGGTGAGACCATGTCTCTGTCTTTATTAAAATTTAATTTAACTCTCATACAA